GCCAGCCAGCCGGGGCGGGGACGGCGGGCGGCGCTGCTGGCGGAGGGCGGCCGCGGCCCACCCGCCCGCGGGGCTGCGTGGACTTGGTCTCCCCTGCCACCCCCTCCGGGCCAGGGGCAGGCCGTGGGCTCTAACCGTGCTCTCCCGCGCCTCCCGGGCTCCCTCCCCCTCCACCTGTTGCACCCCATCGCCCCTCCTGTGCCCCTTGATCTCACCCCACACCCGCCTTTCCTTCCTAGCACCCCTGCTGGCATCAGAAGGAAGCCGGGCAGCTCTGCACCTGCTTGGCACAAAGGGGCTGGGGCGGGGGGGCGGGCTTGAGGTCTCTTCCAGGAACTTCTGACCGGAGCTAGTGAGCTAGTCCACAGCCCCATTTCCCAAGTGTTCACCCCCAACAGAAGGGCGGCACAGGCTTCCACTGAGGACTTTCTCTGAACCCAGGAGGCAGTGACCCACAGCGGCAGGTTCGTCTGGAGGCTTCGGAAAGTCCTCTCCAAGACGAGGTGGAGATGGCCACATCTTTAAGACAAAGGGGCTGCGGGGAACGCCAGAAGAACTGAGGAGGCCCAGTCAGGCGGGAAGGGCAGTGCTCTCCTTCAGGGGACCAAGTGTCTCTGCAGAGCCGACCGCCAGTACCAGCAGCCTCCCAACCTGTTGCTGTAAAGAGCCGAGCCGCTTGCGTCTTGGCTCCTATGACACTCTTTGGGAGGCCTTGTGTCCAGTCCCGCTAATCTAATACGTGCTCTCCACACCTTCCCCGCCGGTGGGCTTCGCTCTGCTTTGTCATCTTCTCAACACTGCTCTCTGACTGCTGATTTTCTCGGGGATGTCTTTGTGAGCTTGCTTACAGTGAGTCTCCTTCATGCAGCTCGGTGACAAACATCCACCAGCACAGGGGCACATGCACGAAATACATCTGTCTCGTTATCCAGCACATCCTTGGAAGTTAGAGGAATTCTGGGCACTCAGCGAATATTTGTTACTGGCCTGTGTGCAGCCACATTGGTCCCAGGCCTCTGTGCAGTCTGCAGACCTCTCTGTGTGAGCTGCTGCCCTCTTGAATTTCTTTGAATTTCTTTCTTTCTCTTTTTTCACTTTGGAGGTTAGGGGACTTCTACTGGAAATATTAGAAGAATAACTCCTGGGTTTTTAGGAAGGATCCTGAGTGGGTGGCCCCGTCTTGAATTTCTGAATATTTTTTTCTCAGTCATCCACTTATAAGTTAACCAAATTTTGATAGCCTCCCATTGATACATGTCTACAGTACATAATTCCTCGTGGGGAGTCAGTACATGTACAGCATACATCCAAATTCTTTTGTCATCGCTTTCCTTGCCCCTCCCTCACCCTCCCTCCATCTTTTAGTCCCAATTTTCTTAATATTTTTGGAACAAGTGTTCCCATATTCTTTCATTTTTCTGAACCCTGCAAATCCTGTCACAAGTCTTGCTCCAGGGAGCTGGGGCACAGAGCAGGAAATAGGTAAACGCAGAGCCTTCCTGTGCCCAGGAAAAGCAAAAGGCTTCCCATCCATCCATGTGCCATCCCCCGAGCACCAGGTTGCTGCAGAGAGGGGTAAGGGTGTGCTTTGCGGCCAGGCTGGGGGCTGGAGCTCTAGCAGACAGAGGCTTGTCTGATTTGCCCGTCTTCTCCTGGGTCAAGGCTAGTGCCTAATGACCAATGGGCTCTGATTACCTTTGCTACATGAGAGACGAGATCCCAGCAGCCAGTGCAGGCTGGTGCTTCCAGCTCCCTCATCAGAGCATCCCAGGCGCCTTCCTCCTGCACCTTAAGATCAATCACAGCTTGCAGTCTTCCTTATCAATCTCATTGCAGGGTCGCTGCACACTTGCACAAACTGCTGAACGGCATTCCTGTTTTGTAGTTCTCCAAGTCTTTGCTGTGTGCTCTTCTGCACGGAGCTTTGTGTTTGGTGATGGAGGAATGTGCAGCCCAGACTGAGACACAGCCTTGGCCCTTGTATGTTTCTAAGGCAGGAGAGGAACTTGCCTTGGAAAGTAGTAATGCAAGTGAAACAAGTCAGGAGGCCCCAGCTTCCTGGAAGATGCTTCCCTTGGACCTGAGCCCTAGTGGCCAGAGGAGGGGCTTGCAGGGGGCAGAAGCTCAGGATTATTGAAACCAGAAACATGTGGCACTTGAGGAAGGCCAAATTGTTGGAGACAGAGCTGGAACGGAAGGCTACATGCTGTCCTGTGGGCAATGGGATGTTTCGGAAGCATACTGACTAGGGACACTGCATGTCAGAACTGTGTTTCAAGATCCCTCTGTGGGCAGGCAAGAGAGTTCACATAAAGGGCAGGCTGCAAGAGAGAGCCTTTGGGAACACCTGACAGGACTGTTGGCACGTTAGATAGAGTGTGGGAGGAGGCAAAGGAGAGAGTTGCTCACAGGGACTTCGCAGGTGACCAGGGAGACGGAACAGAAATAAGGAAGGCAGGAGGTGGAGGGAGAGCTTTCAGTGACTGCCTTGAGGACAGATCCCCACATTCTGTAGCTTACAATGCACTGCTCCATCACAAGCGAACACTCACATTCATTGTTTAGTTGTGTGTGTGCATGTGGGGGGTGCGGGTCCCACGCCCTCGCTGTTTGTACTACATTATTCTTTAACTTGATATTCAAGCTGGATGGAAACAAAAAACTTAATGTAGCAGCTGTATCTTCATAACTAAACCGAACCACCCATTGGTCAGAATAGCAATGAACAATCTCTTTCTCTGCTGTGAATTATCAAGTTTAATAACCAATATCAAACCACCACTCATCATGTGTCCTGCTATGTACATTGTTCAGGGATACAATCAGAGCTGCTGGTCATAAAGTCTGTGTGTTGATGCTCCAGCCTGGCCCCAATGTAGCATACATAAATGAGCTTCTCCTTTTAGGCCAAGGGAAAAATACCAGCCCAGAAATGTGGTGCAAGACTCAGCTTGTTAAGTACTAGGCTCAAACAAGTCTATGTGCCTAAGGCACTAGGCTGTGCCCCACTGGAGAAAGAGCTGTCAAGAGGACTAAGGCAAGTGCTGAGAGGGGCAACAGAGCAAGTGGATGCACACTGGGCTTCAGAGCAGAGAGAGTGGCGTTGCAAGCAGAGGTAGTGGGGGGTAGTGCTCAGGGCTTTGTGCTACCCTGCAGACAGGGAAGAGTTGAAAAGCCCAGAACTCACACTAGGTGTGAGTTAAATGACCACCACTAAGTTACTTAAAGCTCCCTGATCCCCAATGTCATCCATGCAAAAACAGGAATTGAAATGCTTCCATCTCATGTGGCATTTGATGGCACAAGCCATTGAAGGCAGTTTTTGCTTTCTGGCACATGATGAGTACTCCAAATATTACCTTTCATTCTTATTATGACTATTATTAGCTAAAAACAGATAAATGGCAGCACAAGCACCCTGGGAGTGTCTGACCATAGCCTGAACATCTGCTATAGAGCAAGGGCTCATGTCCTGAAAAGGTAGAAACATTGTGGATGAAGCAGTACTCTAGATCTCAGAGAATCTGGCCAGTATGCAAGGGAACAGAGAGGCATGGCTGAGATGTAGATTGAAGGTCACTAGCACATGAGTGAAATTCAAAGCCAGTGTGAGGTAAGACAGAAGAAATAAAGATGAGTAAAAAGGAGACAAGGGAAAGAGTAATTTTAAAATTGTGTCTTTAGTAAAAACTGCAGCTTCAAGACACAAACCCAGTCAAAAACTTCCTAAGATCTTTAAAGACACAATAAGCATAAGTGGATCTTTTCCACCTGTGAAGAGACCATCTGTTTTTCCCTGTAAAATGAGCCTTCCCCTGCTCTGTCACCTGTGGTGGCTGTCACCTATGAATGAGTCATACCCCCTTTCCCTTTCACCTGTAAGTTGAACACCCTCTTTCCAAAGTTCCACAAGACCCACAGATCTCCACTGCAAATCCCCATAAATATACTCAGGAGGTCTTCCCGTGCCTGTCTCCTTCCTGAGGAGCCATATTCTATTTTTTGAGTGTATTCTTATAAAATTCTGCTTAATAAGTCTCTTTGTGCCTCTTACTGATGCATCCTGGAAATTCCTTTCCTGTGATAGAAGTCAGTGTGCATGTAACCTGCCCATGGGTGGAGTGAGGCAAGGGTCCCATCTCCACTTCAGAGACGTCCTCAGACCTTGTCCTGTGACAAGGACACTGTGTGCAGTCACTCATAGAAAGACAGAGAGAGAAAGAGAGAAGAGAGCTTAAACTCGAAACCTGGGAGTGTGTATCTCAGAGGCCAACAAGTCCAACTCCATGCCAGTAAGTCGTGTATTAATGGCACCCATTGGCTTAATGGACAGGGAGGTCATGGGTGAGAGCTCGAGGGGTCAGCAAGAGAATAGAGGTGGCTAAGTCTTCACCAAGCTTCCATGGTGTGCGCGCCTCTCTCCCTCTGTGTGTGTGTGTGCATGTGTGTGTCTGTGTGTGTCGGGAAGGGTGGAGAGGAGATACAAATGACTGACTGAAGCAGGTTAAAAGCCAGAGTAGGAATTGGAGATGAGGAGTATAGGTGGTGCCTGGAGTTTTGTCACAGAGGACAGTGGCAAAATGCTGCAGTTGCTTGCCAAGGAGGGAGACTCAGGAGAGAGCTGTACAGAAGCAACGCTAGCATGCACCTGCCGATGGGAATCCCGGTGTGATGGCAATGGCATCCAGTGAGCATGAGGAAGTGAGAGGTAGTCTTTTGGAAGCAGCCTTAAAGAAGCTGCTGACCCTCCCTCCAGATGCT